GATGAGTGAACAACAGCTGCTGAGAGACATAGGATTGTAAAAGGAACTGCTGAATTAAACCAGCATAGATACTTGAGTGATGTCTTAACTTTTAAATGGAATTCAGAAAATTGCATTGGGGGAGAGGTTATACTTTTGTTTCCACAGGAAATGAAAGGCTGTGGATTCCTTCAAAATTAATAGAGGCCAGATTTGATTAGGGGAGACCCCCTGAAAATTCTGGCTATACACATAAAGAAATAAACCTACAAAAACTACAAGACAGGTGATGCATGTTCTTATCCCTCTATACGGGAACAGCTCTCAGACTGGATGAGACATGATAAATCTTGTTGGTTACAGAGTCCTCTTGACTTACTATTACATTTCGTCCTTTCATATGGCATGGATAGAGGTTTGGTTTATACAGTCCAAAGTAACTTAAAAAGTTGACAGATGTCTTTTACCTGCTCAAACATAAAGTAGGAGGAGGAATTTAGGCTCACAGAATGAAACAGAGACACCAAGGAGACACCAACAGCCAGAGAGACAGACAGACACAGAGGAAGCAGGAAAGTAGGACATACAGAATAAAAGAAAGGTAAAAGCCCCAGGCAAAATGTAGATGAATAGAAACAGGTTAAATTAAAAGAGCTAGTGGGGCAAGCTTAAGCTAAGGCTGAGCCTTCATAATTAATAATAAATCTCCACGTCTTTATTGGGGAGCTGGTTGACAGCCCAAAGAAAATTCTAACTACACAATACAAAGGTCCAGGAGTAAGTTAATACAGTGCATCACATACATAACAGTGGGACATACAACCTTAAAAGGGTTTGTGGCCTGTTGCAACCAGAGTCAGTCTTGAGGATATTATGCTTTAAATGAAAAAGTTGCAAAAGAACTAATATTATATATGAATCCAGTATGCAGCATCTAAAATAGCAAATTCCAGTGGAAGCAACAGGATCAGGAGTTCTAGGGCAGCCTAAGCTTACATGAGACTCTATCTCAAAGAAGAAAAGTCATGGAAACAGAATAATGCTTTCAAAGATGAGTGGGGGTAAGTTAAGCAAAGCAGCATCACTGTTTAATGGATATAGAGTTTGAATTTTGCAGGTTGCACAACCGTGAATATAGTCATCAGCACTGAACTGCACACTTGAAAATGGTTGAGATAGTGTATTTTATATTATATAATCACACCACCTTTTAAAAAAAGAATTTTGAGCTGGGTGGTAGTATGCATGCCTTTATAAGCACTTGGGATGTAGATGCAGGCAGATCTCTGAGGCCAGTCTGATCTACAGAGCAAGCTCCAGGACAGCCAGGACCACACAGAGAAACCCTGTCTCAAAAAACAAAGCAAAACAAACAAAAACCAAGAATTTTGTAAATAGTAACATTTTCCCCCACTTATTTTTCAGGATTCAAGATTTTATTCAAAGTGGAATTGTTGAAATGTATATCAATATGAAGAGACAAGGCTGATTCTTAAAATAATAGTGTTTTTAAATGTAGAATTCAATGTTTTATACTTTCTTTAATAAAAATCATAGTTTTTAACCTTGTTGAAATTTTTTCATGGATATTTGTTAAGGTTTTATTTATAATGTTTTCTATTTAAAAATGAGAACTTTGGGGGCTGAGGATGTAGCTCAGTGGTAGGGTGCTTGCCTAGCATGTGCAAGATCAAGGTTTCAACCCTTAGCACTGCAAAAGAAAAAAAAGACAGTTATCACCTGTAATGTTGCTGCACCAACATCTGTGAAGAGTTTGATGCTTGTTCAGATGTTGTCATGGCAGTGAAAAGATACTGTGAACAAAATGTTGATTTTTTGCAATAAAAAGAAAAGTTGATTTTTTTTTTCTTTCTAGATGGTATTTTAGTTTTGTATTATACAAACAGTATTTTATCTGGATATACTTTGTTCAGGTAAGTACAGATCACCTTTTGGAAGTGTGAAAAAAATAGAGAAAACATGAACCATTTGTCCGTCTTTATATTTCGACCCATAACTCTACACTGGCATCCTGAGAAAATCAAACTGCGTTTACATTAATGCTTCTTCAATCTCATCTGTCTTACTGCTCCTGTATGGTTCTGTGACCTGTTCCACTGTAAATGACAGTTGCTTGTATATTTATAAGCTCTAGGGTTTGTGTAGCTTTAATCTCTCAGTGTATGTAATTATATTTGTGTGTATGTTATGTGTGATGATGGTAAGCCATCCTCATGTCTACATTATTCATCCACACAGTGTTTACTGAGATTTAGTGGCAAGATTAATAATAGAACCAAAAGGAATATCATGTATCCTAGGCCAGCCTTGCTATGTAGCATGACTATTGACTTTTGATCCTCCTTCCTTCACCTCCTGAGTGCTGAGATTGCATGCATGTACCACCACTCACATTCCTGTCATTTTAAATGTCTTTCTTTAGGTACCCTTTGAGTTGTGGCAGTTACAGTCTCTTATTTGAGGGCACTACATTCGAAGCCCTCCAGTAGATGCTTGAAACTGGATAGTATTGAATCAGATGTGTGTTGTTCCTGTGCATACACATCTATGATAAAGTTACAGGCACTGAGGGCTAAGTATTGTCACCTTGAAGAATCTAGAATCACTGAGGAAGCAAGCCTCTGGCTGGATACAGCTGTGTAGATTACTTCCATTGGTTAGTCTTTGACCAGGTCTGTGAGGAATTATCTTAATTAGGTTTATTGAGATGGGAAAAGCGAGCCTAAAGGTGGGCAGCAGCATCCCAAGGGCTTGGGTCCTGGAGTGTATAAAAAGGGAGCTAGCTGAGTATGAACACTGATTACTCTCTCTCAACTGTATATGCAATGTAACCAGCTGCTTCATATACCTACAAGGAAGTCCCTGCCATGATGAACCATACCCTGGGAACTATGAGATAAAATAAACCCAAAATATTTTATCACAGCAACAGAAAAAGTAACTGAGATAGGCACTGTACAAGATTTTCCACAGGTGCACAGTGTATGTGCATATGTATATGTGGGTGCACGTGCCTGTGGAGGCCAAAGGAGGGCACTGGGAATAGTCCTCTATCACTACCCTATTTTTTGAAATAGGGTGTATCACTAAACCTGAAGCCCATTGGTTTGGCTAGACTGGCTGGTCAGCAAGTTCCTGGGACCCACCTGTCTCCATCCCCAACTTGAGTTGGGCATATGCAGTCAAGCCCAGCTTCTATGTGAGTTCTGGATATTTGAAGTCAGGTCCCCTTGCTTTCACAGCCAGAAGTCTTACCCACTGAGCCATCTCCCTAACCCTCCCCTCTTTTTTTTTTAATTCGGTTTGGGTTGTTTTCAAGGTTTTTTAATGTATCACTGTGTCTGCATGGGTATGTTGTGCATGTATGTCACGTCACACACGTTGCGGGTCAAAGAGCAACTTCAGAGTCAGGTCTCTCCTTCCACATTTGTGTGGGTTCCAGGGATTGAACTCAAACCACCAGGCTGGTATGGCAAGTTCCTGTATCTGTTGAGCCATCACACCAGCCCCTCTTGGGTTTTTTGGGTGGGTGGTTGGTTGGTTGGTTGGTTGTTGGTGTAGTGTTTTTGCTTTTTTAAGGACCTTTATGTGGCTGTTTTGTCCCCTAGGCTGATCTTAATCATTGCGCCACAGACTCCCAATTGCTGGAGGTACCATGCCTGTTTTGGTGGGGGCAGCAATGGTGCGAGGGATCAAAGCCAGGGCTTCTTCCCATGTGATAGACATGTACTCTGTCCTAAGCTGCATCCCCAGCTCTCCTCTGTATCATCTTAAATTCTGCTGGAAATCCAGTCACAGCTTTCTCCAGTGGTAGACCTGGGCTCTCCAGCAATCTGTTTTCTGACCCAGCCTGTTGAGCCTGCATCCGTGCCTGCACTGAAGAGCTCAGCAGTATTGCTTCAGGGCCCGTTTGCTAGAGTCTTCTTCATAGGGGACATACTGTATGGGACACGGATTTCCAATGAAACATTTTCTGTTGATATTTCCCACCAACAAAGTTAATACCTTTTCCATCTTAACTGAGCACTTATGCATAGTTAAGTAATTGCAGCAAAGCCAGCACATTTTTACCTTTTCTTCATACTTTCAGATAGATCATTGTTACTGTAAATCTTAGAAATGTTTGAATATTAGTTTTCCTTATTCAGACCATTTCACTTATTTTTTTTTTAATGTATATGGATGTTTAGCTTGCATAAACATAGTTTGCAGTGCCCATGGAGGCCAAAAGAGGGCATCAGATCACTTGGAGTTGTACCTAGGCCTGGAGTTACAGATAAATGTGGGTGCTAAGAATTGAACCGGGGTCCTGTAGAAGAGCATCCAGTACTCTTAGCCACCAAGCCATCTCTCCAGCCCCCCTTTTACTTTTTTAAAGCATTGCTACCTTTCTCTTTGACATAGCCAAAGTTGCTAGTGTTAATGCTATTGCATTTTAGAGCCATTATTCAATAACGGGTTAAAAACACAAGGACTGCAGGGGTACAATAATTGTTGATTTGAGTGCAATTGTGGTGACCCACGCCTTTAATTCCAGCACTCGGGAGGCAGAGGCAGGCCTGGTCTACAAAGCGACTTCTAGGACAGCCAGGGCTACACAGAGGAACCCTGTCTGGAAAACCCAAAAGTCAACCTGCAATTGTAGGAGCTGAGGAGATGCTCAGTGGTTAGAGCCACTTGTTGCTCTTGCAGAGGACTCAGGTTCAGTTCCCAGCACTGAAATGGCAGCTCAACCACCTGTAACTCCAGTTCCAGGGAACTTGACCCCTCTTATGACCTCTACAGGCATGCACGTGGTGTACATACATACATTAAGGCAAAAAACTAATACACAAGAAAAATCTAAAAAAAATTTTAAGGGTGCTATTATGTAAGTAATGGTAAGGTAGCATATACAGTATGGATATGGTGAACAAAGGAATGATTCATGTTTGAGCAAGGTACTGTAGGTAGAGTATGATGGTACAAGATTCCAACATGCTACTCAAGCAACATACAACTTTACATGTACATCTTTTATTTCCAAAGTTTTCCATTTCATGTTTTTGGACCACAGTTGACTGTTACAGAAATCATGGAAAGCAAAACTGCAGATAAGTGGTCTTATTGTAAACAATCATAAGAGCCTGAGTGCAGGGACAGTGACCTGCTTCCCTGAGAGCGACAACTGTACAATCCAGGCATTGGGTAGCTTCCTGTCACTTTGTCGTCTTATAGAACCTGCACCCAAGTCCTGAGATGATGTGAGCACAACCAGAGCTTCAATAACCACTAGATAACCTTCCTTTAGAACAAAAAAAAAAAAAAATGCAGCCTTCAATCTCAGGACTCCAAGGCACACAGTTCTCTGAGTTCAAGGCCAGTCTACAAAGTGAGTTCCAGAACAGCCAGGACTATACAGAGACACCCTGTCTCAAAACAAAAAACACCACTTTTTAAAGTGGTAAAGTGCTTGACCATGTGTGGGGTCCTAGGTTCTATCCCGTTTGTTTGTTTGTTTGTTGGGTTGGTTGGTTGGTTGGTTTTTTGTTTTTTTTTCCGAGACAGGTTTTCTCTGTGTAGCTTTGGTGCCTGTCCTGGATCTTGCTCTGTAGACCAGGCTGGCCTCAAACTCTCAGAGATCTGCCTGGCTCTGCCTCCCAAGTGCTGGGATTAAAGGTGTGTGCCACCACCGCCTGGCAGTTCTATCCCTTTTTGTGGCAGAAAACGAACTGCAACCATCACATTGAAGATGAATTGGCAATACTTTGGGGCTGAGAAGATGGCTTCATAGCCAAGAGTACTTTCTGGGAATGGAAAAATGGCTCAGTGACTAAGGACACCTCTGTTCTTGCAGAAGACCCAGGTTCACCATTGAACGGTACCCTTCAAATGGATAAATTGTGTTGGGTGCAGCTGGGCGATGGTGGCCCACACCTTTAATCCCAGCACTCGGGAGGCAGAGCCAGACGGATCTCTGTGAGTTCGAGGCCAGCCTGGTCTACAGAGTGAGATCTAGGAGAGGCCCCCAAACTACACCAAAACCCTGTCTTGAAAAAAAAAAAAAAAAAGACATCAGAACAGTAAGGAACTAGTTTTCCAAAATCTAAGCATGAGTTGAACTCAGAAGAGCAGTACAAACCCAGCCTGGTAGTGTATGGATGTAATCCCAGATACTGGTGAGACTGGGTCAAGAGGATCTGAAATGCAAGGCCTGTAATTTTCTTTTTTCTTATTTAGGTGCTGGGAACTGAATCCCGGGCTTTGTGTACCTTTCTTTTTTCGGGAGGGGGGAACAAGGACTCACTTTAAGATATTAAATAGAGCTTGGTTGTTTGGTTTTTTTTTGGTCTGGCATCTACTTGTTAATTGTCCTCAAAACTTTTCCTCCCCATGTGGACGCTTTTTCTATGACATTCAAACCTAGTGGTTAAGTACAAGGCACAAACTCTGAGACTGATAAATTCATACATTAAAACTTTTAAATCTTATTTACTGTAAGATACCAAAAAAGTGAAGACAACACATGTGGTAGACATGATTTGTTACACAGGGAACTAACAAGTACAGGACAATGAGAAAGAGGCTCCCGCAACAGTGCAGACCAAAGTTCTCCAGAAAGAGTTAGTGAGCATCACTTGTCACTGGTGAATGCTGCTTGAATACAGAGGAGAGTCGCCCTCTGCCCTACACTCATTTCTGTGTTAGGTACCAGTGCTTTTGGAGAAACACATAACAAACAAAAATAAAAATAAATTACAAGCTTATCCACACATGATAGGGTACCTGAAGTAGATGCAGAACTTAATTTTCCTTTCCTTTCCTACCCTGGGACACAGGACCAGACACCACTTTCATGTCCATTTCCTGTATTTGAACAAGGCTTCAATCAACCATTCGATTATGGTCTCTCACAGCCTTCTGCAGACTTACACTAGGTGAGAAGTGATATTCATTAAGGACTTAATGCATTTAATTAGGGAAAGATATATATTTGTTTTCCCTTTCCCAGATGGCAAGGTTTTCCTTTTTATTTTTAGTATTTAACTTTTATTATAATCTTTATATTTGAGTGAATGAACGAAAAACTGACAACTAAATTATATTCGTTTTAGTTATTGCTGTGAGCTTTTGCATTATTAGAATCACATTTGGGGGGGTTGTTTTGTATTCAAAGAGGACATCAGCCACTTGATAGATAAGCAGCCATGTGGTGTATATGTGTCGAGGGGTTGGAGGGAACTTCAAGAGAAAAAGTAAGGAAGCACAAATATCAGGAAAAGCCTCTTTAGGTTCTGACCAGCATCCAAAAGAAGAAAAACAAAAACAAAGCACTGTACCTTTCTGAGTCAGGACGGGTGAGCAGACCCAGCCCAAACACCATGGCAACTCATAGGGACTGCTGCTGGCTTGTGTTTTATTTTTTGAGACAAGATCTTATTCTGTAGCCCAGGCTGGCCTTGCATTCATGGCAACCCTCATACCTCAGTTTCTCAAGTGCCAGGATTATAAGTGCCAACA